GCAAGCCTACCTTAAGGTAGGAACGAGGGCAAGACTGCAGTTGAGAGGCATCTTTGGGCGGGGCCCATGCAGCTAATTTGATTAGATAACCAGGCGACTTATGCAGGTACCTACTTAAGTTTTCTGGAGACCTTAGTCGAGCCATCTTTCCACGGAGCCTCCAAGAGATGGCAACCTGCCTCTTGGGACCGTGTCAAGTCAAGTCATTGAGAGTTTAATTCAAGCTGACTTTCTCTGTCGCCAAAGAAGACGCCAGTGGGCGACCAGGACCACTTGCTGACCGTTCGTTGAGCCAAAGCCTTCACTGGGATATCAACTGTATGACTGAATGCAAAATGTAAGCTTGCCGCACACCAAGACGCGAAGGCGATGCTGCTCTTCTTTACTAGACAATCCAGACAGCGAGTCTAATCCAATAGTGTAATGAATGAGGGTTTCAGCCTGTATCAGAAATAACTTCCGTGTAGACTTATTAGTGAAAAATGATACCAATCAAATATCGATATCTCGCCATCCGCCTATGGGTGCCTCCTTCCAGGTTCCGGATGAACATCACTGTTCTGTTGATGATGCGGCCGCCTTTTCGTAGCAAAGAATAACTACACGCGATTGCTCAACAGCTGCTCGAAGGCCCGCCATTCGGCTTTACGGAGTGCCCTCTCTGCCGTAAATGGGCCGGAAAATAAGAGCGCCAAAGGGCAATTCGATCATATAAGCAACTTCCACGGGCGAGCATGATGAGACGTAATCTTATCGCATGAAAGCATCATCTATTCAAAATACGTAGGGCATCATAACTAATATCATGCGTATGCATCATTCATCCAGCCGTTTACAACTCCTCGGAAACCTGGCCTTGCTTCTCCAGAGCGGCGAAGTCGGTGAAGCCAAGCTCGTACACGAGGCCAAGAGTCATCTTGGCGTGCTCAAGCATGTGGTCAAACGACAAGTACTTAATGTTGTCATCGGTGCTGTGAATGTGCTTGTCAGAGTCCTCGAAGGCAGACTCGATCACGAAGGCGGAGGGGTAGCCAGCCTTGCTTGCAGAGGCATGGTCGGAGCAGGCGTATCCACACTTGGTCTCGACGTAGGGAACCTTGCAGTACTGCAATTATGTGAGTACAAACTCGTGCCGGCAACTATGGGATTCATTTTGACTTACCTCGACGATGACCTTCTTGATGAAGCCGGTCAAGCCGGGATCAACAAAGTCGGTAATGACACCGACGCTCTCAGGCTTTCCAGCATCGAGCGTTCCTTGAACAAATCCAGTCATATCCTGCTGGAGCATGGCCTTGATGTCGCGTCCATCCTGCTCGTAGGACGAGAAAATGGCCTGGCTACCAAGCAGACCGCCCTCCTCGGCGCTGTACCAGTGGAACTCGATGGTGTTGTCAGCCTTGCCAGAAATGACATCCTTGGACTTAAGGAGGGTGCGGAAAGCCTCGAGAATGGTCATGGAACCACTGCCATCGTCATCGGCACCGGGCGCGGCGAGAATGGAAGGCAGCCACAGGTTGATGGAATCCTGGTGCGCACCGATGACGACGGTGCTGTTAGACTTGCCCGGGATGGTGACAATGATGGAGCTCTGTTGCCAGGTGTGGGGGAAGGCCTCGGCGTAGACGTGCTTGTCGGCACCAGCGTCCTTGATGATGGTGTTCAGCTTTGCCAGAAGCCATTCGGAAGACTGGCGGCCGTAGTCGGACTTGAAGTAGCGGGTGTGGAAGCTCGTGAACTTCTCCAGGTTGGTCTGGATCTCCTTCTTGTCAAGGTCCTTGATGAGAGGCTTAACCTTGTCCTGGAGGCGACACTTCTCGGGGAAGACGCTCTTCTTCGTCTTGGTGTGGAGGCGGTTTGCACCGAATTCCTTGTGGTCGGTGATATCGAAGAAGCGGTTTCCGTTCTGCGAGGCGTCATGTCAGCACTTCTGCAAATAAAAGGAGCGGTGATGAGGAGAATCGTACTCTGCGAAGCTCCCACTTCTCCTCCTCAGTCACCCAGCGAGTGTTGCCTGGGGCGAGTTCGATCAGGTACTTCTCGGGCTCGGAGCCGGCGGGATACAGCTGGACACGGTTGATCTCCTCCTCAGCAACAAAGCGAGCGCTGACCGAGTGGGCCAGCACGGCAAGAGGCAAAGCTTTGGCGACCTTCATCTTGAATGAATAGTATGGGTTGGTGATGATACAATCTGGGGATGATGTGGGAGGTATGTAAGGTACTCAGGTGGATGTTGTTGAAGGGGACGGGAAGATGGCTGGCGTCATGTCGGCAGCACTGATAGGTGCCTAGATAAGATAAGGTAGCTAAGCGTCAGCAGGTCTGCGACAGCTCGGCAAGCTCCCCTGTCTCGAATCCATCCTCACACATTCCCCGCGGGTTGCCTGGGTGCCTGGCACGCCACCAATGCTTGCAAGCGGGTACCTTGCCTTAGGTACGTACCTCGGATGTCCGTAAGACCGGAACAGATGAGATGCCTTACCTAATCATCCAGCTCCCATCCAGTAGGTACCTGACTGAACGGTTTCCTTCGCCTTCATCTGGCAACACACAGTTATGTAAAGTTGCCACTGCTATAACATTGTTGACGGGTTCCTTGAAAGACTCAACCTCGCTGTTTCGCAGCGTGTTTACTGCAGGCAACGTGGGTTATTACCCTTCTGTTTTAGGCGGACCCCCAAGGTATTCGGGCGACCCGATGGAAAGCTCCAAGGTAGGTAGGTACCTTAAGGCTTACCTTTATGAGCAACTTTCGGCTCAGCGAGCCAATCAATGCGGGCACCTTGTGATCATGCTTAGCCATCAGTCACCCTGAGATTCTTCATCGCCTCCCGCCAAAAAGCAAAGAGGAATACATGCAACACCAGGCATTCGCCGGTCGTCTCCGACCCGACTACTACTCTGGCCCTCGTCGGTTTATCTAGGAGAGAGCGGACGGGATCTCGAGTTCTCCAGCGGGTGTGGTCGCATGTACTTGGGTTGGCGCCTGGGGAAGCCCAATTCCGCATCGCACTGGGCTACCGGCACTTACTGCTGACGGATGCTGGAGCGTGTCGGAGCGGGTCTACGTGCCCCATAATGTCTCGGACTCGGTGTCTGGTCCGTTGAAGGATCGCGGGGCCTCTCTGTACTTAGTAGGCACTCATAGGATACCTTGACTACTTACCCAAAAGATGCTGAAAATTCTGTCGTAAGATCTCTAGACCCGTAGCCCAAAATTGATCGCTTGGTGGGTTTGTCAGCATGAAAAGACACACACGGTACCACCCGTTTCCAAGCCTGCCCGTCGTCCCGTTCGTGTGGAGCTTCGGTGCTCATCGGACACCGGTACCGACTTACCTCTTTAAGCTCGTCTGAATACCAAACATCGACAGCCGCTACCTTACAACATGGAGTGCTGTCCCGAACCCCCGACAACGTTTAATGGGCGAACAGACGCCGGGCTTGGACCTCTTCCTTTGCCATCCTCAGGCAGTAAATGATATCATGAGGGGAGCAACCGCAGGTTCCCCAAGCACATCCCCGCCGCGTGTATAAAGTGCCGGTTGCAGCCGGCGCACATTCCTAGTGAGATGACCTGCATGTGTTCCTCCTGCATTCGTCCGACCTTGTGAGCCAAGCTAGGTAGGCTCACGATATATCTCGACGACATCTCTTGAATCTAGCCATCTCACACACCAGCACCACATCCATCTAAGCTCAATCGCGCACGAAACGAGTGCTGCCTTCTAAGATGGCGGCCTCCAAATCCGAGAAGCCAAACTTCGACCTCATCAAGCGCGGCGTCAAAAAGTCCAATGTGCCAGGAACCCTCACCTTCCTCGGCCTCCGCGGTCTCGACCCCTTCTTCCAATACAAGCTCGTCGCCGGCGGCTGGGGCGCCGCCGCCCTCGCTAAGATCGGCATCAACACCATCCCCCTCAACGTAGCCGCCCTCTCCACGACAGGCGTCGCCATCCTCGACGACCTCCACCTGCCGCTCCCGCACCTCATCCTCCTCGGCATGTCCGTCGGCTCCTTCGTCAAACAAGCCTACTGGCTCGTCGGCATCTCCGCCGAGGAATTCCCGCCGTCCTCCGCTGTTGGCGTGAGCTTCTACAACACCCTCGTCAACAGCGCAAACTCCCTGCTCCTCCTCGCGGCGTCCACCTCCGTCCTGACCTCCCCACGCGACTTCCCGGGTACCTCTCTCCCCTACCAGGTCGTCCTGGGAAGCGTCCTCTACGGCGTCGGCATGTTCCTCGAGACGGCGTCCGAGTGGCAGCGCAAGCAGTTCAAGGCCCGGCCCGAGAACAAGGGCAAGGTCATGCGCGGCGGGCTCTGGAAGCTGGCGCGGCACATCAACTACGGCGGGTACGCGCTCTGGAGGGCGGGATACTGCATGGCGGCGTCAGGCTTCATCGGGGGTACGATCATGGGCGTGTGGCAGGCGGTGGACTTCCTCACGCGCGGCGTGCCGGCGTTGAATGAGTACTGCTCCAAGCGGTACGGCGAGCAATGGGTTGACTTCAAGAGGGAAGTGCCCTGGGTTCTGCTTCCCGGTATTTACTAGTTTGCCGTAGATGGTACAATCATAATACTTTTCCCACATATGCAATCGCTGGTGGCCTTCTGGGAACAAGCATGGCCAAATGATGAGAGTCTGAAATGAATCCCGATCATCGAGATGTGTTGTCTTGACTGAGCCGAAGAATCATGTCTTGAACGAGGATGGTTTATATACATAGACCTTCCGGCCAAGATATGCGAGTTTCCCGTAAATGCAGTCCTGCCGTAGCATCATAAACGAACCCAATGCTCATGAAAAGACGAAAAGGGGGCCGTTGGCGCATGCCACCACCTAGATACCCCGGACGGGTAACATATAAGAAACAAGTGAGCCCCCTTTTCCCAACAGCTACAGCCATGACGCAGCCGAAAGCTGGCAGCAACCCAGTCAAAAAGGGGACGGCCAAACGGGGTAAAATGCTTTCCCTCTGACGTTAAAACAACGCTCGCTTCTACATGCTGTCCTCCATCTGCCGACTCCGGACCTTGGCCCAGTCGTCGCGCTCCTTCTTGCCGCCCTGCTGCTCCAACCCCATACCGCGCTCAACCCACTCTTTGCTGCCCATGTGACTTAGACGCGACAGCGCGCGCGCAAACGCAAACGCCTCCTCGTCTCCCGAGAACAGGCCCGACATGCCCTTGATGGAATCAATATTATGGTCCAGGTCCTCCAGGAGATGCGTCGCCGCCGCGGTATCACCGCCGCTCTGCTGCTGTCCGGCCTCGTCCTTCTTCCCTTGCTTCTCCAACGACTCCTCCAGCTCGGCGCGGGAGACGAACAGCTCCGTCAGCGGCTTCTCCGTCGTCAGCACCAGCTTCGCGTGCGACTCGTACACGGCGTCGATGAAGGTGATGAAGCGTCGGGCGAGGTCGCGCTGGCGGTACGTCATGCCGGGGCAGTCGGTGATGACAAAGGCGTCGTAGTTGCGCACCAGCTCGAGGTAGTCCGCCGCCGACGTGGCCTTGCCGATGAGCTCGTCAAAGGTGAACCACGCGCAGCGGCCGCTCACGCGCGGCACGTGGATCTCGCGGCCCCAGACGTTCTGCACCTCCGGATGCGGCTCCGGGTTCTCCGGGTCGCCGAGGAAGCGGAACCACTTCTCGGCGTGGAAGGTCGCGTGCGCGTCGAGCGGGGTGTGGTACACGCCCGAGGGCGGTCTCGGGATCTTGCGGTAGTCTGTCGGGGAGTCCAGGTTGATGACGTGGAGCCTGCTCTTGAGCAGCTTGATCGCGGGGATGAAGGATTCTCGCTGGATGCCGTTCTTGTAGAGTTCGTCGGGGTGTCGGTTCGATGTCGTGACCAGTACGACGCCATGTGACATGAGCGCTTCTAGTAGCCTGCCCCCCCGGTGTGTCAGTTTGCGACAGTGTTCCCTCTTCTCGCGCGGTTTCCCTTTCTAGCTCACCTTCTCAGAATCATGGCGTCTGCCACGTCGGTACACTGAAACTCGTCGAAACAGAGAACGTTGCCCTGCGCCGCGATCTGCGCTGCCACAAAGGGAACGGCGTCGACGTCGTTGCCGTGCTGCATCTTCATCTTGTGTAGCCGCTTGTGGACATCCTGCATGAAGTTGTGGAAGTGGATGCGCGTCTTGGTCTTGACGGAGCTCGGCAGCGTGTCGTAAAACAGATCCATGAGCATCGTCTTGCCGCTACCGACATCGCCAAAGAGGTACAGTCCGCGGGGCAAGTTACTCGGGATCGCTCCTATCGCAGCCTCGGCAGCCTTTCCCCCGCCGAACCAGGATCCGAACATTGACTTTGCGGGCTTGATGGACTCGAGAGTCGGCTGCTTCACTTCGGGCGCATGGTAGTTGACCAGCTCGTCGTGGAGGTGCTGGAGGCTCTGGATGATACCTGTCCCTCGTCAGCATGTGATTCTCCCCCCTGCCAATGTCAGCTCCTGGGAGAGCAAACTTGCCCCTCTGATGCTCGTCGTTGCGCAAAATGCCGTTGTCGACTCGGCGGTCGTATTCTTGTATCGGGCCGTGTTCATCTTTTGCAGCTGCCTTCTCATTAGCCCCCCTTGCGCCACCAAACTGTTTTCGCGATTCTGGCTCCCTACCCCTGTTTCCCTCTGTTGCTGTCGCTACCGCCGAAGCCGTCCTCCTCTGGCCCCCATTTCTGGTTTGTTGCGTAAGGATACTCGGTAACGGACGCAACCTTCCAGCGCTTGTGTTGTGTCTATTAGCAAGGCAAGTTGTGCAAAGGGAGCGTCGGTTGACGGCCTGCTCTGTGATGCCTCGGGTTGGGGCGGCAGAGCCGTTGAGCGATGCGCCCACTCTGCGGAGGGGAAGTGAGGATGCAGCTGCACGGCGCATGGTGGCTGGTCAAGAGGGACCAAGGTGAACAAAAGTCAAATGGAGAAAAAAAAAGTCTGGGGTATTAACAAGAACAATGCATGTTGCAAGCATGCGCGCGCTGTTGAGATGATCGTTGTCGCAGTGTTTTGGGGACACAACCAAGCGGCTTCGGAGATGTCTCGTGGGATTGAAGGTGTGTGTGAAATCAACAAAAATAGACTGGTCGGCCGGTAAAAGATACCGGAGAAAATGACGCTATTGCCTGCCCGCGGGCCGGCTCTCACAACTGGCGCCCGAATTGACACTAGCACTGGAGAGACGGTGGAGAACCTATAAGAGGCCCTGATGCCTCTATCCGCCGTAAATTCGACGGTGGGGAAGCCGAAAGATGCCGAACTCCGGACCATGCCGACTTCGGTCTGACTGACTGGATGGCTGCTCACCGAAGGTGAGGTTCCTTAGGGTGACGCTCAGGCCATGATCTGACTTCCAGTTCGTCTCTTTCCTCCCGAGCTTTCATCTGAGGAGAGGATTGGCACTGGCCAAAAACGAATTGGAAGTATTGCTCAAAGTGGTAGATGTTTCTTTGGTGGTCTTCCTTTCTCATTTACCCTGAATGTTGTCTAATTGCATATGGTCTCGAAGGAATCGAGATAGGCAAAATAACCGTGTTATTCACGACAGCTCATCAAGCAGATTCCATAAAGACGCCGACGAGCGACCAGGGAACGAGTGTTCCATCTAGCCGGCCCATATCTTTCTGATTTCACTCATATGTAAAACGTTTCTTTTTGAGAAGCGAACTTTAAGTACATGCATCATATCATCCTAAGCCTTTTTGTTCAGGAAAGCGAGCTTACCTCGACCAAGGTTCGCTGGGAAAATGTTGAACAACAAGACGACGCGAATGAAGAATTGACAAAATGATGTACTGATTAGTATCCCTTGTGGCGCATCTCGCTTATGGTCAAAGGCAGGGAGAGAGGCAAGCGATCTAAGTTCTGTTCACACATACATAGTACTCCCTGTGCTACCAGTCAAGCTACCCGCCTGTACCCCATTCTTGCATCATATTGTTAGATGGTCGCGTTGAAATTCTATGTTTTTATAGATCAAAGAACTGTCATTTTGTGGATGTCGATGTAGTCCGGAATTACTAGAGATGCTTGCTTCCAGGAAATGGGAGGGGCGGGTCAGGGATCCTCGATCCGTGTCATCTACCTGCTCAAGTATGCTGGAGCAAACACTGGCAAGTCTGTTCGAGTTTCATTACGCCCAAGACCTACAACCATCCTTCTGTATATGTGGATAGAAATGTGAAGACTAAAGGTCCTCGCGGCTCGTCTCGCTACCTCAAAGAAGACAGCGGTAATTATAACCTCCGTGGCATGATCCAGCCTCATAGCCCCTAGATCCGGTACCGTTGAGCCTGGGAGCAACATGCTCTCCGACTTTTCAGAGCCACATTACCCTTTTATACATAGAATGGCCAAGACAACTCAAAATCCCCAGCAAACTTTTCCTTCATCTATTTTTACCCTAATTTGCGTAAGTCCAAGAGGTGAAGCTACACAGTTGGATGGAACACTTACAACATTACTCACATGTCACTATTCTCCCGTTCTTCAATCTTAGTTAAAATTGGGAGAAAAGCCTGTCTCTGAGCCTGCCCACGCCATAAACATAGGTTCGCGAAAAGGGGGGGCCACTGCGAGGTTTCGATCCTCCAAACATCGGCGGTCCTTCCGCGCCCCGCCAGCCAGCCAGCCAGCATACCTTTTGCAGCTCTTTGCGACATCGCGCCCGTCTGGGCAAGAGCTTCGCCGTCTTATGCATCAGACCCTCGCGAATGACGCGTCTATATGGCTTGTGGAAGCAGTGAAAGGGATGGGGGGCACCCCAAGCACCCACGCACTCAACGCACTCTCGCCGATCTTTGGTCGGCAAAGGGGCTGGCCGGATGGACAGGCCGCAGCACAACATCGCGAACGCTGTGCAACATCACTAATGCAGTAGGAAGAATGAGGCATTGAGAGGGGGGTCATTGCTCTGCTTTGTCACAAGCATACCTATGGCTTGATTCTGATCCTTCATTCTTACAATGAGCTGACTGAAGCATCCTCTCTTGTGCAGATTGCAGCTTGAGCTGATTGACAACGCCTCGTGTCTAGAACGAAGGCTGTGGTCTGGGAAGCGGTCTGCCCGCTTCGACCCTCGCTAGCCCAAAGTCTAGAAGTTGTTGGGCTTGAAAATCAGTAAATCCTGAATCCCGGGACGGGTCTCAGAGGTATGTCCGAATAGAGCAGTGATACCTAAACGCCTGTAAGTGCAAATGTCCAAAGGCGGGGGAGAGCGGCCGATGCCCATTCTAGACGGAGAGACTTTCCCAAACTTTGAGAAAAAAGCCTCGGCTATCGCACGCTATAGCATCGGATCACTCTGGCATTCACCATCGAGATCTAGATCACGATGCGAGGAGGCAAAGAGAAGAGTCCAGAGACCTGGACGTATGTTGACTGTGGCCCCGCGTCTGATCCGAGTCTTACGAATGCTTCAAGTCGACGACGGAATCCATGACCAACATCCTGCGCATTTCGTGGATGTGCAGGACGCTAACCGTACTCTTAGTCACAAGACTCCCTTTCCAAAAAGCGAGGGAGAATTCTGGGGTTCAAGTTTCCAAGGTTACCCCGGCGGCCAGGCCATGTGGTTGAACGAGCGAGCTCGTTTCTCGTCAGCCATTTGCAGGACCACACGCAAGACCACACTGGCTGCTTTACTACCACAGCGTGTACAGTACATTCCTCTCAGGTCCCAATACACTTGGGTGCGCAGACGAGGCCTACAGCCCAAAGTCCGGCGTAATGTTCAGCAGAGAGCATGTTACCTTGGATAAGGTACAGAAGCTCATGTCCACAACCATTGGTACTGATTTCAAGGGAGTCTCCGAAGAGCGAATAGGTGGCAAACAAAGGAAAGCACCAATCAGCCCTCGGAACACATCCATCGCAATGGCTGGGCTGGAACTTGATGGACCAATTTCGAGCCCTCCTAGAGCGAGGTGGCGAGGCGAAAGCAAGCCCCAGTGATTTCCTGGCACACTTCTTCGATACTGTTCGGAGGCCGGGAGCTCCGACCTCCATAGCGTTTCTCGAGTGAGGCTGTCGTGTGGGTATGTGTTGGTAACGACCGTTTCATGACTTGGTAAAATTGCCATAGCTCAAAGCAGGGCAATAATTCAAGTAGGCCCTATTGCTGGCGAGTGTTTGGATTCCTTCCAAGTTCACACCACAACAATTCATGCTGCTTGCTGTGGTCATTTGGAATTGTATCGTCAGTGACCAGGAGATTGACTGTTCATTTCTCGAGCCCTGTCCCGAAAAATGGGGGAGCGAGAGCGCTCACCGAATTGCTCCTCTCTAAGTACGCACGGATGAGGCGTGGCTCCTTGTTTTCAGTATTCTACTGGTGTTTATTATTAGCTTACCTTTTTGTTCCTCCAGTGTCGTTGTTCTACGACACAAAATATTGTGCGATGTTTCGTGGTACTGTCTTTCTTGTTTATGAGATTGTGAAGAGAGGACTTTAATGAAAGTGCGGAAATGTTCGAATAATGCCTCCTTTTCTCCTCGGGGATTTAATCATTCAAAGGAGTTGCCGGACCTCGCGGGCTCAATTAAGAAATCCAGTACCAGAAAACATGCCTTCCATCCAAGCCGTCAGCAATTCGGATGCCGGCTCTAACGTCTTGCTCGGTATAGCACGTATTGCAGTACGGAAACATGTCGCCACAGCGAACGATGGTCAGCATTCCGGAATTTGCAATTTTCTCGGCCCCGGTATCTCACGACGAGGCGTAGTGAGAAACGTGGGAACGATGAGGATTCTCGGCTGAAGGATACATTTCTTCCGTTTGTCAGCGGCTGGTTGAGGCCTCAGCGGCCCGAAGTTCGTGATGTGGGGAGATGTTCTTCCCCAGCCCGAGAATCACCTTCCTGATTGACAAGCCGGGAGATCTTGTCTATCAAACTTGCCATCATAGTCATTTGGGGTTCCGTTGTAAGGCAGAGGCGAGAGGCCTAAACGTGGAGCTCTGGGACGGTGTCCCCGCGATATTGCCCTGCAGGCACATAGCTTGAGATCAGTGTCTAGAGACGTGGAGCCAGGCGAATAAGAGCTGTCCATTTCGTCGATAACAACTCAATCAAAGCAAATTCGGATCAAGTCCAACCCCGGCATCTCTTCAGTCAAAACATAGCATTTACGCCGAGCTCGATACCGAATGGAGGTAGCATACCGAAATTGTGATATGACTGCTACAATGCCGCTCTCTGGGTTTCAGCTGACGTACGGTACCGAGTTTGCAAGCACCGGTTCGAGCAAGCAAGAATCAGGTACCTTGTGTACGAAAGCCAGGCAGATGTCAATATCCTATTACATAGGAAAAGTCGATTTTGAGAAGGTGATGGTAGAGGAACTTTGGAAGAAAGCCATCATGAGTTGGCTGACCCGTTGGTCAAAGCGACTCAAAGCCTTGAAGGAAGGAAGGAAGGAAGGAAGGGAAGAATGCGCTGTTTAGAGAGGCGACAGCCGAAAGGAGTTCTGGTGGGCAGCGGACCAACGGAGGAGCTCCGATAGCCGTCCACGGTCCCATGGCTGTTGGGCAAAACATGCGGTGAAAAGGGTCTCGGATGGCGCGTAATCGTGGCAATTGCGCTCCCCAGCAAAGACTGCTGCCGAGACGTATTCTCCCCAGATTTTCTTTTCTTGGATGATATGTCGTTGCATGCTAGGCATTTAGAACTGGTCGCAGCCGGTCTGGTCATCGTTGACACCAGGCCATGCTGTCAAGACTCAATGGCGAACTTTGATACACATACTTTCCAAGGACCAAAACCTGTTTGTGCTCGTTGTCGGCCGGCGTTAGTGAAATTGTATAAGTATGGCAGGCGCCCGTATGGAGATATCTGTTCCGATGCTGACAGGTTGCGAAGCCTTTCGAGATCGATGGGGGGGCCGGGGTGACGATCCGGAGGTGTGTTTCAACAGTCGTCTTCATCAGACTCATGGATGCGGCATCCACAATAGCGACCACGCGTTGGCGGCATGGGCGGAGAGGAACAAAGGTAGCAAGAGCAGGGCTACTGCATGAGCTTCGCAGCAACGGAACGCATCCGCGAGTCCGTCAGAATGCCAAGAGTTTGCGGGTGCACAGACACCACAGATCCAGGGCACGTCTTATCCGACGTGTGCCAGGGCCCGCTGACCGAGGGTCCAGTTCTCGGAGCGAGGTACCGGCGGGGCGGAGAGGAAGGAGGGGAAGGGCGAGACCGTAGGCGAGAGGCTAGAGCCTATGCCTACCTAGAAGTACGGAGAGCGGTACGGATAGGCAAGGACGAATGGGGGCGAAAAAATAATAAGAAGCCGCATGCTGAATTCTGTAACCGAACTTAGTCAATGTGAAAAAAAAAGGAATCTTTAGAATTCACTAGCCACAATTGCGGAGTTTCCCATATGGAGTACCTAGGTACGCCTGACGTGCCACAGGTTACGGCCGTGGACGATCCGAATGAGTGGAAGTGACGTCTCGTTACGTAGCCGATTATGTCCGTTTGTCGTCAAAAGGATGGTGAAGATGGAGAGCCCTTGCTATGTTGCCGGGTTCGGGTCAAAAGCATTCGAGGCTGCGTGGAAGAAGAAAAGAACTGGAGAGGGTCATGATGTGAGTGTTGTGATGGGCTGGTGGTGTTCTGGGAGGCCGGAAGTTGGTACGATTCTGGAAATAACGAGTGGGTCCGGACGTAGTTTCGGACACTTTACTCCTCGGTTGGACGATCCTTAGCGCCGACGTCGCCCCTCTCCTCCCCGGTCGAGGAACCTGGGAGCATCAAGCAAGCAAAGCAAAGCAAGCAGCACTGAGCAGGCAGCTGCCAGCACCCATTGTTTCCCAGGAATGTAACTCTGTGAGTGATCATAGGAAAGGTGGGGATGAGTAGGTAGGGCGTGGGGTGGAGTACAACCCGGTGACATATCCGTTTGTCGGCGAATACCAATGGGAAGGTACGCTGTACACTGCAGAGTACGTGTATGCGTAGCAAGTACGGAGTAATTAGATGCAAAACTACCTTAGTGCCTTACCTACACAGTAGAGTACGGGTAGATTGTACGGATACGGGATACTCCGCGCGGGTGCCTCCCCTTGGAGGCTTGGGTAAGGTACCTTGTCTATTGCCTTTGCAGACTGCATGGCGGAGGGTATCTTTACCTGCCATTACCTTACCTAACTTAGTGCCTAGTGCGGCGTGCCTGCCGCCTGCGGCCGGCCCTCGACATCAAGCCCGCTTGCTGTTGCTGTTGGTAAATCACATCTCGACTTTTCACAGTTGGTTCTTGGACCCCGGTACCCAGCTGAAGCTGTGGCGTGGGCGCCTCTGTCTCACCGTGTGCTCTATCCGCTTTCGTGACTAACCCGAACTCGATCGCTCCATCTAGACCTGCAGAAAGATACCACGTTGGACCGGGTGGATGGGGCAAGACTAAGGTAAGCAAGCACCTGATGGCCAAGTCTTGCCTGCCGGCTTCAAGTCCGCTGAGCAAGTTCTAACGAATCACGTCTAACACATAAAATGGACCCTGAGATACCGGAGGCCGCTCGTGGCAAGGGCTTGGCGCCTTGCCATTTCCATTTCCATTTTCATCAAATCATCCTCTCGACATTGTCCGACATGTTCAACATCCATGGTGACGGGCCTCAAACTAACCTAAACTAACACTCTACTACTTCTAATTCGACAATCTGACAGGTAGCATTTCTGCCCGCTCTAGATCCTGCTTGCCCTCGTTGGTCAAGTCGAAAACCCACCGCAGTCACAAAGGAGCTATTCTTGTCGTCATTTCCGGCCATCACCGTTGCATCGTGACACCAGTCGACAAGCCCTGAATCCTTCAGTCGATCAGGCACAGCAAATATTCATGATTACTGATGTCTAGGAGCAAAGAGGCATCTGTATCGCAATGTCATTCGTTGCCTCGTGCCCACCTATCATCCCCTCGTCCATCGCCACCAATCTGCTGACTACCTGAGATCCATAGAACAAGGACAGGCTCAGTCAACTTCTGGGTCCGCATCTCTCGTGGTGTGCGTATGCCTAACATTACAGGACAATGATACCTGCGCAAGCGTCTGCTAGATGGCTATGCTCCTCGTCCAAGAGTCGCCATCTCCTTGAGACCTCCGACATATGGCACGTTGCCCAATGGCAATTCTGTTACAAATTTCGGCTTTATCTTGTGCTCTCGAGTATCCACCCCAATGGATGTCTTGTAGCAGCAAGAGGCTATCTTCGAATGGTGCCGCCAACGGAAGGGGAAGCGTCACTTAGATCCAAGAACCGGGAAAACAGGGTGTTCAGGATATCGCGGTTGACGATCTGTGGCTTGCCGCCAATGACACGCCTGGATTCTTCCCCATTCAAGCTTATCCTCTCAGGCGGCTGTTGAGCATTCCGGATCTGTCGTTCGTTCCCCGTTGAAAGTCAGACATCCCGCCCTGTCCTCCCAGACAGTAGACTTCGCCCCCGGGCCCGGCATACCTGGGGCGAAGGACGCTCCAGCCCGACTAGGAAAAGCAAACATGACATCCAGGGCAACTGCTGCCCTCGGTCACGGCAGCCACGATCAAACCTGAACCTGTATCCGTACCGTTGCACTGGGACCAGCATCGACCAAAAGTTCCAACTCCCAACGCCGTGCCTCAAGTGACGATCCCAGTCTATCTTGGAGCCTTTTTCTTCGACGGACCGCGACAGCCGAAGAACAAGGCGCGCGTGCTTTTACGGAGTCATCGTGCACGGCTCAGGGGCAATATCACTGGCCGAGAGCACGTAGGAATCGAGTCCATATTACCAAGACCCTCTGTTCTGATGGCTTCCTAGCGTCCAAACCCCCAATTTTCCGTCGAGCCTGTCGGTCAGGGTCCACCGACAGACGCGTACTTTTGGGGTCACGGATGGTTTTTCGCATGAGGAGCTCGCTTACTCCGGCCGGCTTTATCTCTCCCTCGGTAGTATTGAGCCGCAAGAGCTCAGCTCACCTGAGGGCAAATGTCCAAGCTTCTATGGCTAATCAAACCCACAGTTGGAATGTGTTGATCGGCTTTGGTAGCTCAGAGTCTTCTTGGCCGGAACAAAACTTGAATCTAGATTCTGCATGTACGTCGATTGGCTGCGCAGATACAAGCAAGATCTCACGACAGTCAAGTAAATCGGAGTTCCCGTTTGGTCAGCTGCGTTGCCTCCTCATTATGCCTAGTGGCTTGGGGTCCGGTCTGGCCTCTTCCTGGATGATACCCCTACCACCTCAGCAGGAGACCTCGCAATCCTTGCTCTTCCCCTCTGGCGGACCAGTCTCGGCCAGGAAAAGTCATCCTCCACCCGTCTCTCAAATAATTTCAGGCCGTCTGTGATTTGCCGGCCCGTTGCGCTTTCTTTTACTGCAGCAACATGCCAGGCCTAGAAGCCCTTGGTGCGGCCTCGCCAGCTGATGTTCTTGTTCACATCCCCTCAAGTCTTTCTGATGAAACAGGCGGCAGCTAAGGCTCTAAAACCCCACAGTCTCTTGCACATGATAGATGCCCAACCTCCTAAGACGTACGGGTTACCTTCCGTTGTACGCTCCCAGAAGAGAAATCCCAATTTCTATTCCGCCATCTCCGATCATCATCATTCCCTCTGAAAGCATAGTTCCCCATATTTCGAAAGTGCGTCGTCGTTATCGTCTATCCGCACAATAGCCAATGGAAGCGGTTAGTGACCTTTTGGTTCCAAAAGAGCTCGGCGTGGAGCTCCACAGGGCAACATTCTCCCCCAGCGGATGGACAACTTACCAACCCTTTCAACATAGGAAAAGGAGAGGAACCGCATCCGGGATAACCAGCGCCGTTCGAGGGCTCGGAAGAAAGAGTACGTTCAAGAGATTGAGCAACGTCTTCGGCAATGTCAACTTCAAGGAGTCGAGGCTTCTGCTGAAGTACAGCAGGCGGCACGCCGAGTTGCAGATGAGAACCACAAGCTTCGACAACTACTTCAACATGTAGGCTATGGCGACGAAGTTGTTGATCAGTACATTCACACCGGCAAGCTCGCTTCTCCGAGTCATCGCGGCCTGCATATTGCAAACTCGAGCGGCAGCTTGGTTCCTGAGAAAGCGACAGAAACGTTGGAGGGTCTTTTGGTTCCACGGCGGCCACCATGCCTCGATATCCAGATGCCGATTCTACCAACAAGTAGAAACACAAGCCCAGACCGAACCTTGTCATACGGTCCCACGCCAGACTCGCCTGTTGAAGAGTATGGTTCTCCGTCGGAATCTGTCCATCAAATCCATGGTTCGGCGGTTGTTTCACCGACAGACTTTGGCTCCCAACAGGTCTACGCTCGCGCCGGCGACATGAAAAACCGAGATTACGCAGGCCATCACCACCGCCCACTTGAGGTCGAGTGGGCAAATACCCACCAAAATCAGTCACCCCATGGTATTTCATCAAATGTTCAGGGATTCGGGGCGAATCAGGCGCTCGATTATCATCCGCCATTCCCGGGCATCAATCCTTCAGCAGGCATGCTACCCCCAACATGCGGCGGACCGCCATCTATGCCGTACACATCGTACCCGACTTTTCATCCCCAGCCGCCAGCGTTCGTCGCAGCTGCTACTGGTCATATTGGACATGTCCCCGTCACTGAAGGGGATCCTGCTATTGAGGATCGCAAACCTCAGTATAGACACCCAGAAGACCATTCTTGGTCATCATCGGACCCCTTTACCAGATCGCAATACAATCCCCGACACAACTGAAGCGGCTTTGAGCGTTGTTGTTTGATGATCTCGACGCAGATTTAGACCTTTCTAAACAAGGCTCTCGATCCTGCAGACGAACCCGACACCGACAATGGAGAATGGTTGTTGTAAAGTCAACAATAAAGGCTGAGCCCCACTGGAAATTCAATGGAATACTCGGCCGAACAAATTGGCCGGGGCCCTATTCTTGAATGGAGATCTCGAATAGCAACTCGCAGTGCCTTGGCACTCCTGTTTTTGGAGCCGTACGTTGGCCTTGCCGTGTACACAATCAAGCACAGACGAGGTTGGTCAAAGAAAACCAGTCTTATTGTTCCCTACCCATGTCACCGAGGCTGGTGGGAAGGAATTGGAGCACAAAGGCAACGAAAGCTCGTGGCCTTTGGCAAGTGCTGAAAACGTTGCGTTCTCTATGGATACAGACCAAGAGTCTTTATCTCTGCTGCAGCGTTCTTTGTATGAAGCATGCGCATGGAGCAGCTGGAAAAAGGGCATGCCGGCGCCCTATTGAGCCAGCTGAGAAGGTCCAATGCTGTCAGAAAAGGGCTCACGGGTCACAAGATGGAGGGGTTGATAAGAGTCGTCTTAATGAATCTAATGCCCACGGTTACCATTCAATTCTCTTGTTTCCATTTCCTCACAACAAAGTCAACTCAGTGCGTCTACTTGACGGAATTTTATCCATATCCTACCCCTTTTACATCTTACCAAAATCATAGATCATTCAAAGCTTCAATGTCGGAATACTACAGCCCAGAGAGGGTGGATTTGGTAGCGATATTGGCTACATCACAGCGAATCGAGTTTGAGAGATGTCTTGCAGAAATCAAAGGACGCAATGGAGGTAACAAATCTGACACGATGGGAGTGCTCCAGCGTCTAGCCAGCGAAGCCGAAGACGCCAGCAGCATTCTGTTAAGTCTTCAGGCAGAGAATATCGGGGGCTCATATGATATGATCCATCGTATGCTAGCACAGCAGACTCTACTGATCAAGACGCAGCTTCTGGAGGTTGCGGGAGAGATGGGGAAACCGTTCCTACCGACGCCAATGTCTAATCCACGGTTGGCACAACAATCTATGATCCAGCAGCAACAGCAACAGCCACGGCAGGAGGAAGAGGCGGAACGGGAACACCGAAAACCGCGGTCCCCTTTACCAAGACCTCCTAGGCTGCCGAAAGTAAAACTACAATTCAATCAGCTTCCATTGTCTAGACGGCTTTCTGACACTACGCCGACGCTTGACGCGATGGACCGGTCTCAACCCCCTGAGAAGCAGAAGTCCCCGACCCGTGAGATCAAGGGGTTCCCTCCTCGGATCACTAGAAGGCGGCGTCGTCTTCGACAACAAGCGTCAGCAGAAAGTGGCGGAAGAAAGGACTATGGGACAACTGGGCCAAGGGGAACGTATCAAGGAGGGAGTGTCCTTCGTCATGATCAGGCTAGTGTAAGTCCTTCCCCCGAGAAAAGACTCAAGCTGTGGCCCACCGCAAGTAACAAATCCTCGCGTCCAGCGCTCGGAAAACCTCTCTCAAGAGCGAATGAAGAGCGAGACCCCTTGAGCCGCCGGAAGTCGGGGGATGTGAGCGGTGCGGTAAACCTCTGCAGACTACAGGATGAACAGGAAGAGAGAATCGATGCGGCTAACGTAGAAAAGTGGATGAATGATCTCAATTCAAGGACGGAGAGTAAGGAAGAGGGCGAAGCAAAGATGGAGATGGAGAGGGGAAATGGAAGTAAGACAGGGGACGAAGGGGAAGGGCGAGGGACTCGCGGGAGGAAGAGGTCTGCAGACAACGACTTGTCCCCATCGACTATCAAGAAACCTCGCTCCGAGCCTCAGGGCGGGAAGAACGGTGGTAGTCCAGGGCGTATAAAAAGGTTCCTAAGCTCCCACAACCCCTTTCGGAGAAGACGAACTAAGTCTCAGGAAAGCAGAGACGCCGAACCGACCGCCGTTGTACCGAGCATGCCAGACTCGCCGAAGCCAGTGGGGTGCTGCATCTTCGCGGAAGCTCTCAACCCAAGATACTTATTTGGCACCGGAAAAGAGGACCAGAGAGCCCTGCACTACCGCGACGCCATCGAGGAACTCATCCAGCTCGTCGAAGACGCGCCGCACGCAATCACGTCCAACGACCCCCTCATGCGCGAACACCACGCAAAACAATTCAAAGACATACAAACTGTCCTACGCAAGATCCCGTCCAAAGCCATATCGAAGAAGATGATTGACGAAAAGCTCCTGGCGATCCGGATGGAGGAGACGGCGATTCAAAAAGGGCAGATTCCACATCTAAGAGGGATAAAGGCGGAGGAGGCCAGGGCGGAGCGTATACAGCAGCTGACGCAGGAGAAAGAGGTCCTGCACCGTCGGTTGCGGGCCTGCAATGAGCTGAATGACAAGATTTTCGCGTTTGGGGAACAGGGGGCGGCGATCTTTGCGGATTGGATCGTGGAGATGAAGTTACGCGTCGCGGGGGAGCTCGAGTTTGCGGAGAGGGCGCTGATGATGCCGTATTTTGGCGGGGTTCAGGAAGATGGCCGGGAGTTCTATTGTGTTTGAAGAGGAGTGGAAAGTTGAGTTTGTGGCTTATAGAGGGTTGGAAAGAGGAGGAAGATGTATATACCAGTGACGATGTGCGCCGTGTCAAGTTAGCTGAGATAGATATCACAGAGGCGTTTTGGTTTGGCCTATTGAACGAATATCAAAAAACGATGCATGACTCGCGCCAACTCCTATTAACTCCAGTAATCATCCACCGACCTTTATACATACACGATCAGGGGGAAACACGTAAATTTTTGCCCAGTAACGCTGACCATTCCGTTCTCTGTCTTTTTTCGCTATTTTCATCTTTAAATGTTTTGTGCCGTTTTGAAACAATAAAAACGCTTTTGGTATCGTCATTATACCGAGAATGTCTCTCCCTCCACTGGGGGAGAGAGTCCGTGACCAAACCACCTCACCCTTACAAAAAGTAGTCCGCCACGGGCTTCTTCGCAGGCATGCCCCTAGAATCCTGCGGCGCGGCCTGGAACACGCGGTACCTCCTCGCGGGCCCGGGGAGGAGTACCTGGTCGTCGGTGCCCCGAATATTGCCGTCGCTGCGTCCCCGATCGCCGTTGCTGCGCGCAAAGACGCCCGTGCCCGAATCGTCCTCGGCTAGCTCGAGGATGGCCGCCACGTTGCCGCAGCGGTAGCAGTAGTTGGGCGCCGACCACACCGTCACGATGCTGGCGTCAAACATCTCCTTGAACCCTTCCATGACCAGCTGGTGGGCGCGCGCAATGAGCGAGAGGTCGTTCTTGTGGTTGAAGTCGCGGACGATATCGGCGCCAAAGAGGAAGCCCGCGCCGCGCGGCGACAGGCCCCAGCCGTCGATCTCGTCCGGGTCGGACCAGAGCAGATCGCACATGGCGCCCTCGTGGGGGACTTCCTGCTTTCTGTCCAACAGCCGGATCTTATCTACGCTGTCTATAAGCGGGGACAACCCGCCATGAACGCACAGAATGGCTCCGGCGGGGTTGCCTATAGAACCTGATGCGCTTCCTGATGCGCCGCTTCCTGGCGGGCCTGTCTTGTCGCCGCCGGACGAGGGGGCACCGTTGGGGCTATTCGTAGGTTGCCTTTGTGGTCGTCTCTGTCGGGGGAAGCGGCTCATTGTTGAGCCGTTTTGATCGCAGACCTCAATTTCAGTATCTTCGCTGATGGGGTCTTGTCCCGGAGTGGAGTTGAATGTGTGTGATGCGCCGAGAACGATGGCGCCGAGGGCGAGGTAGTCGAATACGTCGCAGCAGTACCGCCAGACGTTGGCGGAGCCGTATTTCCGAAGGCACTCGTCGTAGAAGCCGTAGACGGTAGTGATTTGGCGGGATTCGTGGTTGCCCCTGATAAGGGTCATGCGGTCGGGGAAGCGGACTTTGAGGCAGAGAAGAAGGAGGAAGGACTCGAGGGAGTAGAAGCCGCGGTCGACAAAGTCACCTATACGAAGGAAGCGTCAGCACATCCGATAAGTGCCGTGGGTGAGCGAGAGATCATGAGGGCATACCCATGAAGAGGTAGTTGGTATCGGGAACATCGCCGCCTACTCGGAAGAGCTCCATGAGGTCGTGAAACTGGCCGTGAATGTCGCCACATATCTAGTCCGATGTCAGCGTCTACTCGCCGGAAATTTACGGCGGGGGTTCCTCATCGTACCGTTACGGGGGCTGTAACCGTGACAACATTTCCTTCCTCAATGAGCAGCTCGCGCGCCTTGTGGCATAGCTCTCGGACTTGCGCTTCGGGTATCGGTCGACAGGCGCGCAGTTGTGCGATAGCTCTGGGTTAAGCGTCAGCGCCTTTTCAGTCATGAGAGATAGTATGCGATCGCGAGTATGCTCACTTATCGAGGTCGCTCATTGTGGAATTTGAGGAGGGGTTCCTTGGTCTGGGTCGCGGCGCCCGAGGCCGAGGACTCGCGATATCGAGGTGGAAAGGATGGCGGGTATTCGTTCTACTTTATAGCATGTCGCGTGGAGTATTCGATTCGGCGCGATCGACGGCAGCTACCTTAACGTCGTCGTAAGAATGCGGATTGAGCACTTGCGTAGGGGCGATCAGGGCTTCGAGGATGGGATGGCGTCAGTAAAGTTCAAAGAGGTGCATGGTTGCCCTTTAGCGGTCGCTGGTCGCCTGCCAACCCCCAATTCGAACTTCCAATCGCGCCGGGATCTGCAAAAAGTGGATAGATGGCCAATGCGTCGCTGTGGGTTCTCGCTGGAGTGCATCCCGGCCCGGGGAATTGTTCAGGGCTCCATCTCGGGGATTTAGTTATTGCGACGACCGAAGATTAGATCCTCAGGCTCGCGACCTGCACTTGTCGGCTGGCATGTCACGTCGCCCAGGGTGGACCCACTCCGGGCCGCCGGAGTCCAATCAGAAGGCCTGCATATCAGTTCGGGTCATTAAGCTTCACTGCAGGTTTGCGAGAAAATCATCCTTTGGCCATCGTCATTGCGAACCTCAAGCCTTCGTTAAGGGGACTACATTCGGATCCGTCACCCCGTCGCGCGAGCATGGTGCTGTCATAGGTGAGGAGCCTCAGTCAATTGGGTCATTTTGATGAATTTCAAAGTCGCTAACGTCCAATGGCACGCAGAAGTTCGAAGCCTCCTTTTTCCGAACACCAAAGAAAAAAATCGCCATCATGCCACCACACCCCCTCCACCCGAGGTCGCGCATGACCTCTTCGCTCTTTGCAACCACGGTTGTCGCAAGCTTCTTCGTAGTCGGCATGCCGCATCTGTTACCGTGTCCGGCACCGAGAGTCACATACGCCGATGGAGAGATAGTGGTGGGCGAGGACGGTCGCCGAAGGAGGCGCCGCCGTCGCGAGGCAGCCCCCGAAATCAACGACGGCGTCGTCAGCTTCAATCAAATGGGCGACGAGGAAACGATACGAGCACGAGAGGAGCGATTGAGGAGGGAGTGCCCAGTACCGAAACCTGGCGGCATTTTGGGCGAGTGGTTGGGATTCCACGGGCCGACCAAAGCAGAAGATGGCAGAGCGGGAAGGTGACGACAGCAGATGAACATATGTACAAATAACTCAAAGATACCATTTACGATCAACAATTGCGGTCCCGGCGGCATTGGATGTGCGATAACGATAGACGGGGTGACACGCAGGAGATGGTCAATGTGACGAGCATGCAATCAGTCAGCGAACAATCGCTCTGCCAAATTGAGAGGATATGGGTTAAGGACACCCGCTTACGCTAGAAAAAAAAAAGAGTTCACCCCCCCGGTGCTGAACTGGGGGCTACATCTCTTGGTGCTCACGCTGGGATTCGAACTCGGGTACTCGCTAAGCCTGTCGTCGAGTAGGCTGGTTGGCGTTTTAACTGCTGACCTTGAACGACTCCACCAACCAGCCAGTTTGACCTGACCCCCGACCTAGAGGGCGCCTGCTGGCTGGTGACAGGGACGGAATTGAGGGGGTCTATATGGGCTTGCTCTTGTGGTGTATTCAGTAGAGCTGGGATGAATATACATACACAGGATGATTCACTGAAGGTGGCTGATGCGCCGCGAAGAGTTTGGGAACAAGAGCCCGAATTAGGAAGTAAGGGTGCCCAGAATCATGAATCCTCCAGTATACCGCAGGATCTCAAGAGCCCTTGCTCAAGTGAGCAACGCAACCCAGCCTTCCCACTGATGCCGCAATTATTGCCTCAAGTGGCGTGTTCGACGATATCTCAAGCGTTTAACTGACAGTCCAGAGTTTTCGAGTCTAGGGCACAGTATTACAACATCGGCTGCCGCGCCTTTGCCGTTGGACTCAAATGGGCGACCAGTACGCCGCAATCACACTCTCGGGCTACGTCGAGACAGATGGTGGTAGAGGGCCTCCGATGCAGAGGTGCTTTGGGCCCTACCCTATAGCCAAATAACGATTCAACTTCAAGTCACGTAATCGACAAGCAACCCATCGTGCACAATACCCCATGGCCCAAGCAGTTCGCGATGTTCAGAGTCACGCACGCAATGATATACCTCTGCTACCAGTACTTGGGGGCTGTTGGTCGGGGCTTGCCAAGTCTAAATAAGCAGTCATCCTAAAAAACAAGGTTATTTTGGCATTGACTGCGCCTGAAACTTAGGTGCAGTTCGCCCTTGCAGAGTTGCATCCTCTTGATCCTTGCGAGCTTCGACCAAGAAAACGGCTGGGGACGGGCCCAGCGGGTCGTTCTTGGTGAGAACAGATGAGTGTCTTGCTCGAGATTTTTCGATCTTCACAGTCCGAACGCCGTTGGCTGGAGTCCTTAAAGTCTTCAAATTGCTATTTTCTCCAAGTCATCCTCGCTGACGACGATCAAGATCGCCGCTCGTCTTTCTCTCTCATGTTCCGTTTCCCAACGAAGTTCTCATACCCCTGAATCTGGTGTAAGAAGTGCCGTGAGCTTATTACGTATGATCTTCCGGGAAATTTACACACAGGATTCGCCTCGCCTCAACAGTGAATCCAATGCCTGCCTACGTTGCCAGGGCATAAAGTCGCAATACTGAAGGCTCTACCAAATTTTCCACGGCTTTCTGGTGTTCCGTCCATGACCGGGCGATCGTGGGGGATGAGACGTCGGAAGAGACTCAGGCAAGTGATCCGTGCTGCTAGGCCGCGCCCCTGCCTCCGGCCCGCAACCTTAACACCCGCTAACAATATCTGACGCAGGGAGCCCCTGATGGACGCCTTGGCGTAGAGGAACGCTGGCCAACTTTTTAGTCATTGTTGCTCCCGCAAACCACTCACACACATACACAACGACGCATATACCCTCACGAGGCTTCACAGCCTCTCCTCGTGGTTAAGAGTGACAAGGTTGTGTCTTCTTCAGGCTTGTGTGCGGGGCGGAGGTGTACCACATGGGCGGCTTGCGGTCTGATCTCCAAAGCGCCAAGAACGGCTCTGATCAGTCGAAACAGCCGGGAGGACGAATCACGAAGAACGCCTGGAGCCTTGGGCCCATTGAGATTTTAGCATCGTGGTTTAGAGTTGAGGTGACGGGTGCCATCTGTTTTCTACCGGGGCACGAACTGAGACCGGATTCAGCACACCCATCGTATGCCGGTCTTTCAAGGGTGGAGACCTTGCATCCTGCTTCGCACCTTGGGGAGGCAACTTGCAAGACGCCAGAAGCCTGGCAGACCGTTGGCATGTTACGCAACCCGAAAATTCCGGATGGCATCTGTCTCATGAGCCCTGGTAGATGCCATCTGATCAGCAGAGGCTCTGGGCTGGGGGGAGGGGAGCGCCAGCCCAATACTGGGCCTGGTCCACACAAAGACTTATGCTTAATGACAGTCTGGGAAGATGTGAAGTTAAATAGACTTCATTTCCCCGAACCAGAGTATGTTTTGTTCCTCATCCCTTCTCTCAGGACAGTGTCTTTTTTTCTACATCAAACTTTTCAATTCTATTCTTCAAGAGCTGTGCTCTATTTCCATTCATTCTCAGCTTCTCTGTCATTCCTTGATACCCCAATTGTAAGTTTTTCTCCCATCCAGGGCTGGCTAGAAACGCAACGCTGACTAGAATCTCCAGTTTGTACCGTTTTCTCTTCACGACAGTCATTCCACAATGAAGTCCTCCATGATCCTTCTCATTGCTACCGGCCTGGTGTCGGGTCTGAGCATCCCCAAGCAGCTGGACACCCGCCAGGCCATCGCCCAGGCCCCGGCCGCTGCTCCCGCAGCTGCTGCTCCTGTTGCTGCACCTGCTGCTGCACCTGCTGCACCTGCTGCTCCCGCCGCTGAGGCTCCCGCTGCTGCTCCCGCGGACGCCGCCGCCGAGGAGGCGAAGAAGAAGGCTGAAGAGGAAGCTGCCAAGAAGGCGGCCGAAGACGCCGCCAAGGCTGGCGAGGGCGCTGCCGCTGCTCCCCCGGCCGAGGCCGCTCCCCCGGCCGCCGCCCCTCCTGCTGAGGGTGCTGACGCCGCCGCTGAGGCTGCGAAGAAGGCACAAGAGGATGCCGCCAAGAAGGCTGCAGAGGACGCTGCGAAGAAGGCACAGGAGGACGCGGCCAAGCAGGCCGAAGACAAGCAAAAGGAGGCTGCCAAGGAGGCCGCTAAGCAGGCTGAGAAGGCTATGGGAGACTACCAGAAGGGCAACAACAACAACAACAACGACAACAAGGGCAACAACAATAACAACAATGGTAACAACCGCAACAATGGAAACAACCGCAACAACAACAACAACAACAATAACAACAACGCCCTGTTGCTCCAGAACATCCAGCTCCTCCTCGCCGCCATGAACCTCCAGAACGTCGTCAACGTCCAGGCCCTCGCCCAGCTCCAGGCGCAGCAGCAGCTCGTGATGCTCGCCCAGCTTCAGCAGCTCGCCCAGCTCAACGCCGTCGGCCTCGTCAACCAGGTCCAGGTTGTCGCTCTAATGCAGCAGGGTCTCGTCCTCGGCGGTGTCCAGCTCGGCGGCGTCCAGGTTGTCAAGATCCAGTGAATAATTTGCTGCAGAAGTTCAGGGGAGGGAGCATACAGTGTACAGGGCGATGTAACTGCAAAAATGTAATTGACACAATTTCTACGGTGCAAGGAGCAATCATTCAATCAGTGTTTAGCACTGGGGGCGCCACTGTGTTTGTTTAGATGTCTCATGCGTTGCGGAGGTGTGAGGGAACCCGCGCCGCGTGATCGGTTGGGTTTGGCATCCTTAGTGGACGGTCTCTACTGAAGGTTGAGGTGACATTGGTATGGCCGTGGTAGCACTCAATGGTCTCCTAGAAAGGGGTTGGGAATCGGTGGTCCACATTACATGGGAATGGGTAACGGTGCATTATTCAACGGCTCTACATATCAGACTAGGATTTGGCAAGTGCTTTAATGTAGTTTATGGAAAAAAGTGTCACTGATCCACATGCCAAAACCTTTGAGTTTTACGTTGAGTTTTACTTTCCTTCCGTTGATAGTTGTGTCTGTCTCAAAACTTTGCTGATGTCGCGAGGGGGTCATGTTTAGGGCGGGATATCCCTGTTCGAATGCCAAGTTTGTTGACAGCATATTGACTTAAGCTTATCCTCGATGAATTCTCCTTTGATCGATCTGATTACTTCTGACTCAGCACAATGTTTGCCATACCATGTCACCTTCATTTTCATTCCAGTCGGCTAAAGGTATTTGACGTCTAAATCCAGCTCACCTGATTAGTGAATGATTTACACTTAGGTAGGAAAGGGTTCTCATCGTGATGGTGGACGATATGACGAGCACATAAAATCCGTTCGCCTCCTCACTCAGTTTTTGCATCAAAAGTCGACAGTCATGTATGGTACCGAGATGCCCTCGTCAAACGCAAACCCAACCCTCCTCTTCCCGGAAGCGTAGAACACCCGAGTTGCGGGGAAAGGAGACGTCAAAAGAAAAGAAGGTGAAGAACCAGGGTGTGACATCTGCAGCCCTGTCGCGCGTTCCCTTGTCGTCAATGCCATGGAGGGAAGATGCCTCATCGACAGAAGCCTGAGACACTTGGAGGGGTTCGGGGTTGGTGAGCCGAGCAGGGGGGTTCCGACGACAGCAGGAAAAGGGCGGCGGTAGGGTCACTGTGTGGTGCACATTGCGCCCAGACCGCTTGTCAGTGACGCTAGAGGTTCTGACTTGCTGGAAGAGGAGAATTGCGGGGTCTGTGATAGCCAATTAACGCCTAGTAAAGACTTGCAGGGGCCGTACAGAGGTCCGAGTGATGCTGATGGACCCCACTGACACGAGTTTAAACAGCCACTAAACCTTAGTTGAGCCGCTCCGACGTCAACGGTCCTCCTCCTCCCGTCTCTCTCGATTCTCTGCGTTGAGTCCCTGCTTGGACTATGCCATTCACAACCACTCATTCCAATACCAAGAGCGAGAATGGGATGATGTCCTCACATCCCAATTCGATGATCAATGCCACCCTGATCCAACGCATCGCCGGCGAGCCGGCTCGGCAGTCTCCTAAGGCAGAGCCGAAAATCCTGACGCGAGTGGCAACGAGACCAACTTCATTCATCCCGTCTTGACTGCTGTCAGAGACCCCAGCGGGCCCAGCCTTGGGACCATCCATCGGACTTCTCATCACCCGGCCGAGCATACCAGTTGTTCCAGCTCGGTACGCAGGTCTTTTCGGATGACACACCTGTCATCGCAGCATCGTCCCAACTCGCAAGTGTCTGACTGAATGCCGCCACACCGCCGCCCCTTGCTTTTCAACTTCTTCTTCCAACTTCCCTCCGCATTGTCGTCGCACATACCCAACACCACCCTCACAAAACCTGTGATCAAACCAAGTCCTTTTCCACCGCTGCTTCTCATCATCAGACCCTACGAAACAGATTTTTGGCTCGGTTCTATGTGTAGATCTCATGAGTCTATTCCAGTTTCCGTCCCCCGTCCCCTGTCTCCCTTCTCTCACTCAAAGTCCGCGGGAAGAAAACTGGCTGGAAGGGCCATGTGCCGGCTTGGCGATGGCTGGGATGAAGAATTCCGTGTCACCATTTGCCGTCGGCCGAGTAGCCGCAGGACCCGCCAAGTAAGGTTATTTGGGCATTGCGTTACGTTGCTTGGCCCACAAGAGCCTCAATGGCCTTGTCTTGCTTCATTTCCTCACCATAAACTTTGATTACTAGGTCTCGTCACAACCGAAGGGATTGCGAGTGAATCTCTTTTAATCTGTCTATGCTTGAAAATGAATTTCCATCTCCAAAGATTACATCTGGAGATAAACGCCTCACGAGAGACGCCAAAGTGTACGTGTATAGTGATATTACTTTCCTACTGTAGTCTTCAACTCGCTTTCATTCAGCTCGCAATCATCCTAGCATAAGTCGCTAGATCGTGCCAAGGGTGGCATCGCTTCCGTCATCCGAAGAAACGTCCTCTCTTCCATGCTCTACGCGTCCCCTCACGACCCCTAGTCTCAATGTTGGGCCCCCCTCCCCCCTGTCAACCCGTTTGATCCAACATTATTCCGTACCAGCGATATCGAGACTCTGATACGCATCGGATCACTCGTTCACGACTCTTCCGAGCGCAAAGCGTACCTTAATTCGCACTTGGCAATGGCCCAAACGCCTCATGCCTTGCTGAAGAGTTCAGACGTCGACGTACAGCACTCTTGGCTCCGAGTATCTTGGCTTCTGCTCTCGTCGACATATAAGCCACCCGTCCCGCCGCGAACATCACATATTTTTCCTTCTTCTCCATCCACACGCATTCAAGTCTCTTCATCCAGTCCGATCTCACTCATTCCCTTCATTCATTCTCTTCAGAGGTGGGTCTCATCTCAAGGCCAGATGAACAGAATACCATACTAACCAACAACCAGCTGTGCTCTTTGTTCTCTTCACTCCTTTCAGGTCGTTTACAAACAAAACCAAAACCACTCTTTACAGGAACAATCAAGAGCTGTGCTCTCTTCAAACATAATACATTTTTAATCAAACCCCCCCAATCCACCAATCAGCCAAAATGCGCTTCTCAACCATCATCCTCTCCACCCTTACCGCCTTCGCCGCCGCGGCACCCGTCGCCGACACCCTGGAACCCCGCCAGGGCAACGGCAACAACAATAACAACAACAAGAACAACATCGACCTCGCAAACCTCAACAACCTCCAAGGCTTCCGCAACCTCGACCTAAACTACCTCCTCGCCCTCAACAACCTCAACCTCCAGGGGCTCGGCCAGCTGGGCCAGGTCAACAACCTCAACCTCGCCGCCTTCCAGAACCTGTTCGCCGCCCAAAACTTTGACCTCAACGCCCTGCTGCAGCTGCAGCAGCTGTCCACCGTGCTGGCGATCCAGCAGCAGGGCGTGTTTGGCAACGTCAACCTGGCGCAGCTGAATCTAGGTGGCCTCAACTTGGGGCTCATCGGCGGGGTCGGGCAGGTGAACTTGGGACAGTTTATTGACCAAGGGTTGGTTGGGCAGATTAACCAGGTCGTTCAGCAGTCTTCTGGTACGTTTTTGACTTCGCATATGGACTATTGAAATCTTGAGTGCTAACCAGGGGTTCTTCTTTCGCAGTCGTCGTCGTTGCAAAATAAGCACTCTACGTCTGTCCTCCAGGAATAGGCGATGCAATGCATTTATGAACTGGGCTACGGATTGCCACATTTGGGACACGGTGTTTCAACCTGCTTTTCTCTTCTCTCTTAATGACTGGCGCATGAACTTTCCTTGATTCTACAAACTGAAGGGGGACTAGTCGATACAGGTACTAGAATCAAGATGACAAGATGGCATGTATGGATATAGGTACCGTGAAAAATTACGAATCTTCATCCAGAACATTTCTCTGTGTACCACTCTCAAGTGAGGCTACGGGCCGAGTGACAAACGCATACAAAAGTTTGATGAAGCTTCTCTGATCAACCCCCCTTTAGGCCTCTCGACTCGAGTCTAAAGTCAACATTTCCAGAAAGAGATACTCAGACGGGGTGCAGGTAAGACTCGGGTTTGTATTCGGCATTCGAGCTACTGACAGGCCTCATCACAGTCGCCAGTACATGCAGTACTTTGATATTCAAGAAAAGTTGACAGGCGTCAAGCGCAAGAGTGCTCGCGAGTGCTCACGAGTGGGCTTCTGATACACACTAGGTATACCAGAATCCTCGCAAAGATCCAGCAGGTGCTTTTACATTTCCAGCCTAGAATCTCTGGTGTCTCTCATCTGTTTTCTCAATCATCGAGACCGGCGATCAATAAAGCCATGAAAGACCTCTGCCTAGTCCTACATTTTATATTCCATATGGACGGTACGTTTCATGCCCCCCCCCCCCTCCCACCCTTCATTACTAGCTCTCCCATCACAGGCACAGATCTGCCCCGAACCTCGGACCAAACAGTACCTCTTGCTTCCCTTCCTTTATGGTATTCTTTGTCGTTGACTGACTGCACCCACCCCCCAAATGAGTCCCTTCACTCATATCTAGCATCGAATGTTCTGTCTAACCGTCTCAGTCGCAATAATAAACGCATACAGCATTCAATGGCGCGGACCCAATAAGAGATCAAGTCAAGATCATTCAAGGGGCTTAGCGAGTCCGATACCCCCGATTCAAGCCTGATACAGAATCCCACGAGAAATAGAATTTGGCAGCCCCCCCATCCGTTGCTCGTACTACACCATCAGGACTAACTCAAAGCAGGCCAACATTGTTCGTTAGCCCAACCATAGCTGCATCACAGGATTTTTTGTTAATACCAAACACCCCCTCTCGCCGACAAGTATCTCGCAGTCGCTGTACTTCGCTGTACCGACGCTCAACAAGGGTACTGCCCGCTCACTCCGTCAACGCCGGCTCTACAATCAACAATAGATAAGCTATTCCAGACGCAAAGGGTATATGATGACTCTTCATTTCAACAAGCGATTGCTCACTGACCAATACCGCACGAGAATGGGACACCGTAAACATCCAGCCTGCTTACGAGGTCCATGTCCCAGGTTGGAACATATCCCAAGGACGAGAGGACGTAAATCATACAGCAATGCCAAAGTCCAAGTTGCTCATATCGACCCTGACCTGTTGCTTACGAGACTTCATTCTTTTCAGTACCGCCGGTAAGATATCAGCACCCAGGCAAGCACAAACAGTATTCGTTGGGAAGTCCTATTCTGCCGCCGACACAGTATCATCCAACTCATCTTCGTAATTGCCTAGCGCTCAGCTTGTACACGACATCACATGTCGTAAAGAACGATATTGAAAGCTACACGTATTATCTCCTCTCTATGAGATCACTCACTGTTTGCGTAGCACGTGTGCCGCGGTCAACCTCTTGTGAACACCATCACAGCATCAGCCCCCCACTTCCCACTTCATCCCACGGGCACAGTTCCATCGCGTTGGCCCAAGATAGCAATTCATGCACTCAGAAAACGAGCAAACCACCCTCCAGGAGAAGTATATCCCGTCACGTAAAGGACCTGCCTGATGGTGGTTATGTTACTTTGTCATATTTCACGTATACGTTCATCCCCGGAAGAGCACGTGGTCACTTCCGTACACGTATACAAACACAAACCTTTACGGATACCCTATTGTCAAATCTCCATGCACATGATCTGATTCCGTACCACACTCCCACAAAGCACGCACATACATATCCCCGACAAATGGAGATACAAACACGTCCCCCATCCCCAGAATTTCGCAAGTCTGACCACTGACATCTCCCCTCCCCTCCACCAAGTGGAAACCTGCACGAGGGACTCAGGTAGAGACAGCGACCCGGAACTGGCCGACCTGCGTATGTGGAGAGGTACTCCGTCCGGAGTACACAGGAACCAAAGAAAAAAAGGAAAGAAAAAAAAAACGCTCACCCAAACACGGGAAATCTTGGCGGGGAGCCCGAAGATCAATCCCCCACCCGCCCCTCCATTGACAATTCCCTTGCGACTGTCGATCTTTCGGGTATAAAAAAGACATTTATGTGGAAACATACGAATTTTCTCAGGGAGAGGAGAAGAACGTGGGGAATAAAACAACCAAAAAAACCCGTTACCCGCGTGCCCTGCTTAGGAGAACCGGACCGAAGGGAGTGTTGCAAGACAAGGCGGGTATCATCTGTAGGGATGTTCCCAAGGCTCGGCGTTCCTGGAGACGGTTGCCTCCCCCTCCCACCCGCCGGAATACGAAATGCATTGGCATCTTGGCAAGCCTTGTTGCGGAGACGAGCATACGAAATCCGACAGCGAGAGGAAAGAAAAAGAAAGCAATTTGGCCCAGAAGAGCTCAGGAGGGGGACCTTGTCTCGAAACTGCTGATGCGATGTCGCCATTTGTGGCAGGTCTGCCAAGTCAGGGGAAGAGGTGACCCAGGAATCATTCCTGTTGGGCCAGAAACGAAATTTCGTGGGCGCATTTGTGAGGCTGACATCTTTGCAACGGGATGGCGCAGCGCAGGTCTGAGATCCCCTGAGTGAGATTTGCTGGAATTGCAATTGTTAGGTCAGGCTGTCAGCTTTGGGAGCTGAAAAGAAAAAAAGCCTCGTCAGGTCAGACTTGCAGTAAGCAAATGCACTCGCTACATGTGCAGCTTGTCGAAGCCTACCAAGGAGCTCACACGACAAACGTGTGTTATCCAACCTCCCAGGCAGGGCCTTGTTTCCAATTTTTTCTACTTGTTCTGCAAATTTTCGGCTTGGGCGTTATGATAAAGCCAACTGAAGTATGCTGCCGCACGCACGCGGGGGACACGTAGAGCCCGTGACTCGGCCCCGGGCCGGAATCCTCAGTTCGTGCCCGACCGGCCGGGGTGGACTGAGGCGGACGTGATTGGACTACCTCTCACAGTCACAGCCCGCACGAACGGGACTGCAGGCAAGAGGCGGGGGAAAGCTCTAAATATTTCGGGACAAGCACGCGTTGCATGGGGCCGAGGGAAACCATAACTTGCAGGTGAATATCGGGGTGCATGCATGACAGACTTTAGATGCGGATCTTTGGCGAGCCGATCAGCTTCGTAGGTGCAGACAACTGATCTCGTACATCGCGGTGCCCGCGGAAGTGTTGCGTCCCTCACGGGTAGAGATTTCTTCGCTGGCTGCTCCAGGGTTTGACGACGAGCGGACGAAGGAAGACTTGGCAGACCTCGTTGAGGTTTGGTTGCGCGCTCGGACGACGTCCCGTGGGACGGACGTTTGGCAGGCCATTTGGCATTGCCAGCGAGTCCGTCAGACGCTCTGATGGATATGGCCGCGCCTAATGACCCGCTAAGAGCTCCCTCGTGGCTGCGTGGCATCCCGCTTGCGCCGCTTGCGGCGACAAAGCTTCTGTCGGGCGTCTGTTGACCGAAGCCATTACGCCTGTGTTAAGCCACTGGCTCAGGTAAGAGTGCTGCGATGGAGGCACGAAGGTTGGGTCAAGGTCATATGCGGCGGTTCAGGGCACCTCCCGCGAATCCAGACTCAACCGCTACAATTCCACCCATCCAAACGTCATGTTAGTCGTGGGTTGTAAAGCCAAGTATGGGAGAAACTTGGTCAATTGAGGCAAGGTTCACAGGAACCGCTGATTCTGCTAGTACCCCATAGACGGCATACGCCGGCGAGATTAAGATCGACCCGGAGTTATGGGAGGTAGGAGTGCACGACTACGGCATCGCCTTTTTTCGACCCTTGGAAGATCTGGACCCTGGATACTTGATAACCCACCCGGAAACGAGCAGACGTCTGGTCGAGACTCTGAACTGCGAAGCGTTCGCGGCCAACGTCGCTTAATGCCAAGCTCCATGTGCCGATTCGCATCATAGTGGCGGATATTTTCAAACAAAGAGAACGGAGCTCCAAGGTACTCCGTGCCGCAAAGCTTTGGCCCTCGTAGACGCAACCGAGCCATAGGCAAGCAGATGGGCGATTTTGGACCCTGAGCGATGGATGAGTGACGTGGGGAGGCAGGGAATCAATTGCCTCGCAGTGCAGGAGCTTCGGGATGAACAGAGCTTCCCATTCTGACACACGACAATCCGCAATACGGCCGTGGCTGACGGCCACGTCCACTGCTATGGCGACACGAATGCACTGACGGTAGGAATTCTTGCGCTCGCAGGAGCAAGGCAGCAGAATTATGTTGTGGGGAAAGCTGTCTCTGGAGGAAGGCTGTGCGTTTGCTCGTCCATAGTCTGACCGTCCGAGCTCGAGGTGTTGGGAGTCTTGGGGTGGGAAATAGGGGATGATCTGACGTATGGTGCATTGTCGATGGGCCGAACAGGGAGCGGGTTTATGCAGTGACGCGGAGAGTGTTATGCAAACTACCAGCGGTTGGTCTCTGATCTCTGGCGCTAGCAGAGGTTTCCAAGGCAAGGCTGGGGCCCCAAACGATGGTGGTCGGGATATGCTCTATGTCAGTGGTTCTCCTAGAGTCTTGGTTGCTCAGTGGTGCTGTAGGGGCACATGCATGTCAAGTTCAGGTGCTCTTGTGTAGGTAATCCATCGTCCCATCAGTTGCGCGCGTGAGATGGATGGGACGGTGTGGTTTGTGTCTGCATGGTGGTTGCATTCTCGTGAAGCCGGTTGCAGCCAAGTCAGGTACGGATGCATGAGGTGTGGGATGAGGTTTTTAAGTTTGGTTGGCTGGAAGGATCATCGAGATATCCGCAGCCCGAGGCCAAAGTCGACCACGATGCGATGCAGATGCAGATGCAGAGCTGCAGCACCGGCCGTACTCGAACGAGCTTGATCTGTTGCAACAATCGAGCACTCGCCATTTGCCAATCCCTTCCGTTCGTGTCGGGCTTGCCTAGACCACGATGCAGTGGGGATTGGCCATGATCGTGGAAGCAGGTCTCGACTGTTGATGTCAAATAAGAGAACAAAGAGGGAGAGGCATAGAGTATCGATATCGACCGAATGACAGGAACAAGAAGCCGCAACGGGAATAGTCGAGGTTCAGTATTGGTAGCGCAATGCGGTTCAAGACCCGACGACTGTTGCAATCGCGCTTCGTAGCGTCTACCTCGTTGGACCAAAGGACCGAAGTCTTTACCCCAGAGTGCCGGCCTCCAGGTGGGGGTGGAAAGTTGGAAGAGAACAAAGAGACGGGCGAGGCGGCCTTGTCAGTCGTTGCTCACTGGAATGCTGAACTGTCGCTTGTCTTCCATCGGGCCCAAGCATGTTTCCTCAAGGAGGGAAAAAATCTGCCATTTGGCGCGGCCGTGGCTGTGGCTGGATTAGCACGTCACTATACGTAGACGCTACGCTGAGACCAAGGGTCCCAGCGTGCCGAACACGGCGTGCTGCAAACCCACGGAGCAGACTTCGAGGGTTCACGACCGTCGACACTGCTGTGATGTTGGTCACGATCCACGTCAAGATGGAGGTTGGCGGCTTCGTGGCAAGGTGGTTGAGGTGAGACCGTGAGAAGTTCGTGAGCAGTCTGGGCGAATGGACAGACGGGTGGCTTCCACCACGGGAGATCAGTTAGACTGGACCTTGGGCTTGTGGAGATGACAAGATGTACTTTGGAGGTACCTCGGGGAGTTCCTTCACGATATGAAAGGTCGTGGTTGTTGATGAGCGTATCCGTACTGTTTCTTTGCAAGGAGTCTTGGAATCGGACAAGCAAATGAACGAGTCGATGCGTTGTTTGGATGCCTCTCCTTTACCCTTGACTCTTGACTGTCGCCTTAAGAGACTCTGGTTGAGTTGGGACTGACCGCCTGCGGTGAAGAGTTGCCGCCTTTTCCATGCAGAGGTTTCGAACCCACACAACGGATAGTCGCATCAGATGTTGTCTTGTTGGAAAATGGAGAAGCTGAGGAGAAGAGATCCATCTGGCAAAGTGACAGGTCACAAAAGGCGTCCCCGAAGTGCGACGCACCTCACCTCTCACCTCCAAGTACCTTTGGATGTACCTCCCTTCACCACCTCACCTCACCTCACCTTGCCTCACCATGGGCAGCGCAGGTACGCTGAGGTAGGTATTGCATCCAAGGTGCTTAGCTAAGGCAGCTTCGGTTGATCCTCGCACTCACTCAGTGAGACACTGATACTGACTGTGAGCCCCTCAGTGAGGGGACCCAAACAGTAGTGTACGTACCCAGCCTCGCTCCGTCACCAGCTCAGCCCAGCTTCCAGCGGGTCCTTCGGGCCTGCAATCCCCACTACAACCCACTGGACGAACACCCTTTGACACCCAAATTAGCACTCGCTGAGGGTTGTCGTCACGGTGAACCGGGCAAGCCAGAACAACATGGCCAGGCTGTCCCTGGTTGCCATCCATGAGATCCAGGAACCTGCCCCCTTCTCGAAAAACAACACACTCGCAACATGAACGCGCAACACGCACGACACACCACCACCAATGTCTAAAGGGCAACTCGTGCGAGAGATTCTCCTTGGGATCACCTTGGGAAGCCTGCCTACCTTAGGTATTCCGTGACTCCGTAGAGGAGTGCAGCAAGGTTTGCTTGGCCTTTTCGTATCCATGTGGTCCATCGGAAAATACCACCAGTCAGGATGCAATGGATGAACAATGGCACCATCTGATCGACCATCCGTGTGACGAAAAGCCCGCCGTTCCTGGATGTGCCACGGTGATGGTCAAACAGAACTGGACCGCTTGTTTGAGCCCCAGAGGCCCTTGAGCAAGCCTGTCTTGCCTGTCTTGCCCTTTTTCTTTTCCCCGATTCGATCCCTTTCTCGGATAGGCAATGAGGCACGGGGGTGTACTTTTGTGAGGGGATGCGAGACACGGGAACTGAAGAGCTGCCACACCAACTCATCGAGGCTTCCTTTGGCTTCTGACTGAATGTCGACAGCTGCAAGCTCCAGGAGAGGGATTCGGTGGATGATCTGAGACTCAGACGATGGAGGCAGGATGAACAAGGCCCGAGACGGGATGGCAGCATTGGCACTGTCATCATCAGGATGGGTTGATGAGGGGATGCCAACTGCCGTCCACCCATCCAACGTCATCCTGTACTAGCATTCTGGAAGAGAGGAAGGATAGCTGGACGTGTTATGATCTGAGGCCAGGGAATAAGCCAGCAAGCACCATCATCAACACCACTGACTGCGGCGGCATGCGGCGGCGGGCCTGCCTTTTTTGCTGCCCAGGGTGCTCACTGCACAGGACTGACGCGAGCGTTTCGTCTACAATGGGCAAAAGGGAAACAAAATTGCCAGCCATCGACGCAAGATTCCCGAAGCCGGGATGCCTGTCTCGTTCGTTGCGTCAGCCACCGTCACATATTATCTTGTGGGATGGGCAACACAAGACGACCGGAGTGGTTGGGATGTAATTTGAGGGCGAGTGACTGAAACGATTCTTATTTTTTGAATTTTAATTCTGCGTCTACGGATACTGCGTATGGATCAGGTATGTCTGGGTATCACCGCTGCTGGGTAAGGCAACCTGTGCCTGTGTAAGAGTGGGATTTGTTTGGGCCCTGTTCATCTGATTCTTATGGATAACATCAACAACAAATCCATGCCAAATGGGAATTCAGCGATGATGTGAAGTCTTTCTGCCCAAGGCTCGCATGTTTGGTTTGCCATGACCGGACGATAGTAGTCGATAAACCATGCATCTAGATGCAAGAGAACGGGCACCTATTCAGACCCATCCATCAGGTATAGAGTACCCGTACGTGTGGTGATGAGTGGCCATTTTTGCCCGCATTTTGTCACTTTGTTTTGTGCCCGCATTCCCAATTTCTCGCTTCTCTTCTTCTTTTCTCGACTCCATTCAGTGATCCTCGCCCACATTGCTGCTGCCCCCCCCCCCCTGCCGGGCCTGCCCTCGTTCTTGCAGATACGCTAAAGAGCCGAGAGGGAAAAGAGGACCATTGCCGGGGTTTCCTTCTCGTTTTCCCTTGCCAAGTTGCCGTTACACCCCTGTCTTGGTGCCCTCTTCTCGGCCCTCGTCCACGTCGTCTTCGGTTCTCACCTACGGGTTATCCGCACCGCCTATTTCGTCCACCACCACTTGCTAGCTAATACTTGCCATCGTACGGAAAGCAATGCTCCCGGGGATCGAGACTTGTAGGGGGTGTGCGAAGATTAGACTGTAGAAACAAAAGACAGCAAGAGAAGATAGACCAGAGAGAGAACGCCAAAGCCAGATGATCCCGCTCAGACAGCGCGCTAAAAGTGAAGGAGTGAAAGAAAACCAAAGTTGCCAAAGAAAAGGTACATGCGAGGTACGTCCGAAGAGTACAGGGGGGAGGCACTGGGGGGCTTTGGACACAGAGCGCAGCATTGCATCAACACGGACCATTCTGCACTACTGGCGCAGTACGGAGTACCTACGCCTCCACCCCAACCTGCCTGTAATGGCATGAGCGATGGGCGATGAGAGGTTCCCAATTGTCCTGTCCATGTCTTTCCTCTTCTTCGTCTCCAACTTGTGCTTGTTGCGGAACCCACTTGGTGCAACGCCCACCGCCGAAATACACACTCTCTCTCAACCAGATAGTACCCCGTACAGAGTGCCAGAATCCCAGAATCCCAGGCTCTAGCCCAGCCCGCCCGTCCATCTTCCCGCTCCTCGCGACTCGTTTCCCAAACCCGACTCAGCCTTACTTCGCTTTATGAACCCTGCATAACTTACCAGCAACGGCATCTGGGATCCTTTCTCTCTGTGTCTGGTCCAAGTTCGAAGCCCCTTTCTGGTGTACGGATACACCCATTGCTACTAGGTACGGAGCATGTACTCGGACCTGGCAATCCCAATCCCAATCCCAAATCCAATCCCACCACGCCCGTCCATCATCCACCTA